TCTCTCTCTCTCTCTCTCTCTTACGAGGAGAAGAAGAAAGAGAACAAAGAGTAATTTGCATATATGGAAAGCTGAAAACGGATGAAATACGATGATAAAGCCAGTTAGTAATGTAAATGAGGATGATTTCACCTGAGAAAGCTTAGAATTTGAGATTTCAAGTGTTAGACATATGCAAAATGAAAAAGCTCATGAGGTCATGATATAAGCAGAAAGGTCAGTTACTTCATTATACGACAAAAAGCCATCTAAAGTAGGAATATATATAGTGTCAAAGAAGGATATCAACTAGCAGGTGCAGCTTCTCCCTAATACAAATCATTTCAGCTTAATACATTCAGCTTTTTATAATTATTTTTTTATTTTAAAACAGAATTAATGACATGAAATATGTGACAAAAATATGAGAATCTCAAGATATTCTTCTAATGAAATTTGATATTATTTGACTTGTTCTTAGACATTTTCTGTCAAATTCTTTGCATTTAAACAAGAATATTGTGCATTTATGGAAATTAAATTAATAAATTATTTGTTTTTTTGTTGTTGTTGGATGTACGATTAGTTGGTCTTGCTATCGTAAGGACATGAGAGTACGACAACGAAGGATGATGATGAGCGACAACGAGCTACAACAAGCTATAACGACAACGACGAAACAATGACAATAGAAAATGAATTATTAATGAAACATACGTAACCTGTGAAACAAGGTATTGACCGTGCTAATTATTGAAAGATCATTTAAATGTGAGAGAGATCTAGACAATAAGATGCTTCTTCTATACATATGGTCCCTGTGAATACGAGATGAATCTTTCATCTGAATGTTACAACTTATTGTTTTCCTTTCAATTAATAAATCATGAAATTTCACAACTTTTCATTTCAATTACTTCACTCTCTCAATTCAGCTTTTCAACTTTAGCATGGCTGACTTTCAACCTCCATAGTCCCACCTCAACCACTTCGACTTATTTGGTATAAAACTCATTGTCGGCCACTTGAAATCATTCTCGCCTTTGCTATTGCGCACTTCATCAGATGCCTGAAACCTTTTTCAGATTTACTCGAGTTGTTATCTTCTGTCTACATGAAATCATTTGTGGCTTCGCTTGCGGTGTTATCGATGGACTACGTGGAACCATCTGTAACTTGTTTTGCGTTGTTGATGGTCGAAGTTATTCAATTAAAAACCTCTTAGTTCATGAGCATTATTTAAATATTCTGTGTATATAGAAGAGTTATATCATAGATTAACAATAGGAAGTTTATCTGAGATTCTTTTGAGCAGTGTTCAGATTGTTGTAAGAAGAAGTGAAAGACAAATAATTAAAGTATTACACGTTTCAAGGTTTGCAGGAGAAGGCAAAAGGAATGAAAATGTTTGTGTGAATGAAAGAGAAGATGAGATACTTTAGTAATTTTAAAACTAAACAATATGATATCCCTTATTGGAGTTCTTAGATTCTTTCTTCTCAACACTTTTCATTCGACTTAATCGACGACGAACACTTCGAGATCGTTTCTGAAAATGCATCAATTCACGAAAACATTCAATACCAGAAAGACTTACAGCAATTTTCCCAACTGGTTGATATTTTGGAGAATTGGAGTTCCAATAATGACAAATCATAACAGCTGTTAGTATAAAACAAACACCTGAACTCGATAACTTGATTAGTTTTCATTTTCATTTCAAAGTATACCGACTGCCACGGAGCCTAGAAGCATAAAGCCTGACAATCCATTAACAAGACCAGTTCGGTCTTTCATCTTCGATAGATGATCTAGCCATATTCCTTCAAAACTCTTCTATACAGTAACTTTGCAAGTTGTTCTTACCTGTTGTAATGACAGCTAATAAATTACCGACGGCAGAGATGATGCAAAAGACTAGCCACATCATTAGCATTGTTCTCCATCGATATCTTCAATGATGTAATGAAGTTGAGTTACCAAACATTCAATAAACCTGTGTACGGCTCCCAAGCCTAATGCTCCTGTCACTAAGCCGACAATAGCTGCAACTGTGTTCATATGACAAGTAGATTGATATTCCGCTTCTTTCGGATATCCCGGACAGTATATACCATGAACAAGGAAAGCAAACGAAATTAAAATTTCAGCTCTACATAGATGAATCATAATCTTTACATATCTATAATAGATAATCATTAGATGTCTATATATGGAATATATTAATTAATATCAATTTGCTTTGTCATACTTTCATTAGAATGCCATCAGATTTTGGTAAACTTTTGTTAAACCATCCCTCTTGTGAAAGCAGTTTCCATGTTTCTCAGAATCTTAAGGTCCTCCTTCCGTTATCTGACAAACGAAGGAAATAAAATCGATTGCCTCTGACGTTCAGAGGTCTCACAACAGAAAGAAGACCTGTCTATTTCCTATCTTTCAGCCTACATTCCCGAAAAGCAAAGTAAAAACTTTACAAAAAACAAAATAATTTCAAATTTTCTGAGTATTTCATAGTCATTCTGTCTTATCTTTCTATATACCATCTCAAACTCATTCTGATTCGAAAGTGAAGGTAAAACGAATACGAGGGCGTAAGAAAACAAAGATTGTGAATCCGAACAAAACTGACTCTGTATGTTGGAATCCTGATCGTTGCATGACCGTATAAGCTTTATACCGTCTTCTCTCAGAAGCGCTCATTTCTTCTTCCGTTTCGGAGCTCTTAACAAATACATTTTATTACTTCAATAGAGAACATTTATATAAATTCAAAGCAACTTACCATTGTGCCGGGCATAATGATTCTAAGATCTGGTTCTTCAAACGGCCGCAGCAAGTCCATCTTAAGAGTTTGCTGAAAAAGAACAGGAAAAAAATCTTGACCTAACAACGAGCTAATGACACGAAAAACATTCTTTATAATAAATAGTAGTATAACATTTAAAGGACTTTGAACCTCAAAGAAAATAACTTTTTCTTTCTATTTTAATATGATTTAAGAAGTATAAGAGCGAAAGAGTACGAACTACATCTTCTTCCGACACAATGAATGATCTGTGTTCTCAGAAGGGAATGAGCATTAGATGTCTATGCATCAATACAATTGTTCAAATTATTTTTGTAATCAAAAATAATGAATAAACAGACCTTATTGTGGAAAATGTCAGAAGAAAAGGGACATTGATGAAGACGTCGTTGATGATGATGTCAACGAGAGAATAGTTTGTTGTTCGGTATTAGAAAAATGTGATATCGATGGAAAAGATATTTGGCTGATGACGTTCATGACAACAATTAACAGAAAAAAAGAGAAAAAAAGAGAATGAGAGAAAAGAAAAAAAGAAAAGAAAATCGTACGAAAACATTACGATTACCGAGAGGACATTGTGGTTGACGACAGCCTTTTGGTGCGACATTAGATGGGTGAGGAAAGATGCTTTGACCTTTTTCGTTAAAACTTTGCGATCGGCCAATTAAGAAAGTTCAATAGACTGTTCAGGAACTTCTTCCATCTATCTGTTATGAATATGAAGACGAATCTTTATAACAACAAAAGATAGATGGAAGGTTACAGCACACAACATGGAAATTATGAAAGATGATTACCTACCAGATTACAAAGCTTCATACTCTACTATAATCAGTCCCTACAGGAACAGCTAAAGCTACAAGGCAATCTAAATAAGGGAAAACTATTAATATGAACGTTGTAAGGTAGAAAAAAAAGAATTTAAGAATTCTTTTGAAGCAAATGATTTCATGGAAGCTCAAATGTTAAGGGAGAAGGAAGACACCTCCAGATGAGCCCTGAGAAGAAGATATGTTCGTTATCGGTCTCTTCATCCGGCTCCACCCCCTTTCTCTTCTTTAAATTCTTCTTTCTTTCTCCTTCTAGTTGATCGACTTCTTCATTTTCATATCTCACGCCATACCTGGATAGCCTAGTTGCAAAAGAAAAGCGTATCTTTCTTTATTTCTCTCAAGGGTTCATTCTGTAAAGACCTTTCCCGGTAGACACAAACTCTCTGATATCTCTATGAAACTTCATCTATTCGAATCCCTGGAACAAATGCGGCTTCCGTATGTCATATGTACGTTAAACGTAAAGTATGAATTATGATATCATTCGAATACATTCTGAGAATTTTCTTTATCTTTTTCTCTCTTTAATTCGCTAAATCTGCTTCAAGTTTTGACATGTCGAAAACGTGGATAGAACGAAAAGGAAATACAAAACGAGGGATGCATGGGCGTCATCAATTGAATGGAAAAATTTTTTCAATTGTTCGCATCTTGACTTTTACTGATGCAAACTTAAGGCAGACAGTAAATTAAGTTGGTATTCATGATGATACTGAACACTCCAAACGGTTAAACGTTTTCTTTCACATGACCATCCTGTACAGAGTTCATTCATTCTATCAATAGAGATAAAAAAATATAATTATACTTCTTTAAGAGGCAGTTGAAGTTATAAAACAGAATTAGGATTACAGCTTTTTCGATTCAGAAACAATTTCATGGTAGCCGAGACTAGATAGCGAAAGGGAGTCAGCGACACTAGATATGACGGAACGGCTGAATTGAACTATTCTATTGAATTTTCATGCTATACGTGTTCAATTTATAGAAGGAAGAACAGAAATAAAAGTATTGGAAACTTGTCACGAAATGCGCAAAAAACTGAAGAGGAGTCACACTCTGAATATGTAATCGGAAGATGACGACTTGTGATGAAGTCGAAACAGTTCATGTGAGAACCGCGGATCGTCAGCAGTTGGCGTTACTCCAAACGGGTCCAAGGACATTCGTCAAGTGAAATAGCACTGTGAGCGAGAGAACATCAATCACCGATATTGGGCTTTGCAAAAGAAAGGACTAACATATATATATATGAGAGTTAGAAGGTAAGAAGAAACAGTTTCAACTATTCGCATAAAGAAACATCTTCTTGAAATGACGTATATTGTTTCCATTGGCTCATTGGCGATCACATTACTAAGGGAATACCAGAAATCAGTTTCATTTAAAAACATATTTCTTATGCATTTTTGCCAAATAAGAGAGTTCTTAATCAAGTTCATGACTAGAAATACCGGTAAATTACAAAGCTGATGCTGTTTTGAATCTTAACGGAGATGGCCTTTGC